GACTTGCTACCTGTGTATATATAAAGAGAGGCACCTTCTGATTGGGCCACGCAGTCGCTACCTTACAGCTAGCAGCAAAGGTATTGGTGGCGACATCCACTTCCTGATCACATGAACACCCAAAGCGTTTAACCAAATATTAACATCTTCCTGACTCTAATTGTTTTCAACTCTTGCTCGCCTGTACTTTCCCGAGTGCCTTTCAGATGCTTTCTCTGCTCTCTGTATTAAGATGACATGTTGCTTGAACAGAATTCTTAAATTTTAAATTTGGCGCCGGAAATCCATCTCATCAACTTTTGAAAAGGCACACCAAAATATGATCAGGCAATTCTCATTCTCCTGCAAAAATTATATTTACATAAAAATCCTAATGTTAAACTTCCAGGTTTCTAAGTGCATCATAATCTTTTAGTATGAAATTCTCAAAACTCACCATTAACACTACCATATCTTTACTACTTTAATAGCACCCACTGGAAATACTGGAAAATAATCCTGTAATTACCAATTTGAACAGCCTTAGGCAACATTTTAATTCAAAGAAGGAAAGACAACAAAGCAGAATTTAACCTGTGGTTTTATTGCTGTCGCAAAATAAACTTCCAAATAAAAATCTAACCAGTAAGGTTGGCACTTGATTTTCCACGAAGATCGAATTGCCGATCACGCAAACATGTAGCAGGCTTTTATGAAATTTACACTTCCCAGATACTTAACACTTCCCAACCTCAAAGTGAGTACTTCGGCAGACACATTCACGATAATGTGTGGAAGCCCTTTGAATGATTATGTAAGTGGCTCTTAAAAGAGCCTTTTGTTATGCATGACTGGATATCAAAAATTCTAGCTTTCCATTTACTTGCCCTTAGCCTTATGGTGGCTCTCGGTCTTCTTGGGCAGCAGCACCGCCTGGATGTTGGGCAGGACACCGCCCTGAGCGATGGTCACACGGCCCAGCAGCTTGTTGAGCTCCTCATCGTTGCGGATGGCCAGCTGCAGGTGGCGAGGGATGATACGCGTCTTCTTGTTGTCACGGGCCGCGTTGCCAGCCAGCTCCAGGATCTCGGCGGTCAGATACTCCAGCACAGCGGCCAGGTAGACGGGCGCGCCGGCCCCAACCCGCTCGGAGTAATTGCCTTTGCGTAGAAGCCGATGCACACGACCCACGGGGAACTGAAGACCTGCTCGGGAAGAGCGAGTCTTGGCCTTGGCCCGCGCCTTGCCGCCCTGTTTGCCGCGTCCGGACATGTTAAATCTAGTACAGATGCTGCTCCACAAAGAAACGAAAAACCTTCTTTAAGTTCCTGGGCTACTGAGAATCTCTTATACATGTAAACCGGATTGTAAACTCTGCTCGGTGATTGGTTAAATTAATGTGTATCATTTAGACCAATTGGAAAGATGATATACAATCCCTTAATTTGCATAGGACCAAGCTACTCCTGAAAATTATCCAATCAAAGCATAAGCTGTACAGACGTGTTGGCATAGAACACTCCAAATATTCATGCAACGCATGAGATTCATTTTTTCTTTTTAATATCTTTTGCCATGCTTGAGCAAGCGTAGTCCGCTCCTGCCCCAAAAAAGGGTTCTAAAAAGGCGGTGACCAAGGCGCAGAAAATGGCAAGAAGCGCAAGCACAGCCGAAAGGAGAGCTATACTCCGTCTATCTGTACAAGGTGCTCAAGCAGGTGCACCCCAACACCGGCATCTCGTCCAAGGCCATGGGCATCATGAACTCGTTCGTGAACGACATCTTCGAGCGCATCGCGGGCGAGGCCTCGCGCCTGGCGCACTACAACAAGCGCTCGACCATCACGTCCCGGGAGATCCAGACGGCGGTGCGCTTGCTGCTGCCCGGGGAGCTGGCCAAGCACGCCTTGTCGGAGGGCACCAAGGAGGTCACCAAGTACACCAGCTCCAAGTGATTTTTGTCAACCTACACTTACTCTGATACCCAAAGGGTTAACATTTCCTGGCTGTCATGGGTTCTTGAAATTTAGTGAAAAGGTTGTTAATGTATTGTTTCAGTTGCATAATTTCCTGGCCCTTCCTGGCCAAAGTAACTAGTAAGGATTATCTGAAAACTGGGTCCAAATCGATCAGAGTTGTGCTCCAATCTAAAACATCTCATTTCACAGCATGAAAAGCTAGAAGTGCAAATACATTTACAACTCTTCAGGTGAAGATATGTGGCTCTGAAAAGAGCCTTTGGTTTGTTGAAGTACAAGCTGCTCACTTGGAGCTGGTGTACTTAGTAACTGCCTTGGTGCCCTCCGACACCGCGTGCTTGGCCAGCTCCCCGGGCAGCAGCAGGCGCACCGCCGTCTGGATCTCCCGGGACGTGATGGTCGAGCGCTTGTTGTAGTGCGCCAGGCGCGAGGCCTCGCCCGCGATGCGCTCGAAGATGTCGTTCACGAACGAGTTCATGATGCCCATGGCCTTGGACGAGATGCCGGTGTCGGGGTGCACCTGCTTGAGCACCTTGTACACGTACACCGAGTAGCTCTCCTTGCGGCTACGCTTGCGCTTCTTGCCGTCCTTCTTCTGCGCCTTGGTCACTGCCTTCTTGGAACCCTTCTTCGGGGCAGGAGCGGATTTCGCTGGCTCAGGCATTTGGCTGTAAGTTAGACACAACAAGAAAGAAAAAAGAAACACAATGATGGAGTCTGTTTGGGGCCTCTTCTTTTATAGGGCTTGTATGCAAATAAGGGATTGAAAAACTTTTAGATGTGATTTGAAAATGTATTGATGACGTTACATATGCAAATTTGATTGCATCATAGATCCTTTCTTATTGGGTGAATAGTAAATGAAAATTTTAACCAATCCAAATTCGCCATTTGGAATTCTACCTACCACTATAAGTAGCTTCTTGTAGCTCCCCTCACACCATTTCATTTTTGGTTTCCCTTCGATTGCTTGTTGGTTGTGTTCTGAACCAGAATGTCTGGACGCGGCAAACAGGGAGGCAAGGCTCGGGCCAAGGCCAAGACTCGCTCTTCCCGAGCCGGTCTTCAGTTCCCAGTGGGTCGTGTGCATCGGCTGCTACGCAAAGGTAACTACTCCGAGCGGGTGGGCGCCGGGGCGCCGGTCTACCTGGCTGCTGTGCTGGAGTACCTGACGGCCGAGATCCTGGAGCTGGCTGGCAACGCGGCCCGTGACAACAAGAAGACGCGTATCATCCCTCGCCACCTGCAGCTGGCCATCCGCAACGATGAGGAGCTCAACAAGCTGCTGGGCCGTGTGACCATCGCTCAGGGCGGTGTCCTGCCCAACATCCAGGCGGTGCTGCTGCCCAAGAAGACCGAGAGCCATCATAAGGCGAAGGGAAAGTGAGAAGCTTACAATTTTTGCAGTACTCCTTATTCTCCGAAATCAAAGGCTCTTTTCAGAGCCACCCACTAATTCCTTTAAAAGTGCTGGAATACGTTAAGCCTGAATGTTTAAGCTTCATTTTTCATTTTACTGTATCTTTTTGAAGGTACAGTTAATAGATCCCAACACTCGAGGAAAGTGCTCGTTTTTGACCCTGCAACAGTGCATTGCGCTCAATTACATTTTATGATTCAAACATTAATAAAAGTAAGAGGAGAAATTCAGTTCCTGGTACCCCAATTCCTATAGAGAAGTGTCATGCATTATTGTTACAAAAGAAATATAAGAACGAGAACAAAGAGAAAAGCTACCCAATCACTTTGCAGGGCGGGCTTTTTGAATCAAGAAGAAGGCGCCAAGTCCCTAGACTGCCTACATCATAGGTTTTATCCAGGACACAAATGTGCATGGTATCCCATCCAAGAGGGCACTTTCATACCAAGAACATCTAGTGTGCTTGCTGCATCTGATGTCAGGATAATTCAAGTATATTATTTCCCCAGAACTGAAAAAAAAAAAAAAAAAAGTTCTTCAGAGGGATCATTCCGTTTTGACAATGAAAACTGTTGTAACACTTTTGCCTTTTTTTTGGGGGGGGGGAGGAGGATAGAATGCATGAAGGTTTACAAATTTAAATGATAAGTATACACATGGGTTTTCTAGCTGGACCCCTGTATGTGAGTTCACAATGTGATGGTGTGCAATATATTTAGGAAATTCCTTTTTTTTTTTTTTTTTTTGAAGATTTTCTTTCAAACTAGACGGCTGGATTTGTAGCTGAAGGCTCAGTCATTTGTGGAGTGGTTTCTATTCTAAGTGTTAATTATTAAGAGTGGTTAAAGCCAGAATTAGACAGTCAGTAGAAATAGGTAAATCGAGTCAGGTTGGATCAAGAAGGCCAATTTTGAGTGAGTCTGGTAAATTGAAAACAGTCCTCTGAGGGATTGAAATGTTCATTCCTTTGAGCCCTTCTTCCACCCTTATCTAGAACCTGCCCGTTTCAACCTGTTGCTAAGGTAATCCTGGGAAATGTCCCTCCTTACAGGGAGCAATAAAGTTGTTAATTAATGTGTCCTGGGCTACACCTTCTGGGCCTTCCCTTTTCCGCACACCTGTTTCCCACCTCTTGACCATCCCACCAAGCATTCCCGGAGGTAGTCACCTACACAGGAAGGAGACAGATAAGCTGAAGAGAGCCAGAGAAGAAAGGAATCCTAGGACATATAAGAAGGGCAGAACGCCTGGCTTCTTCTCCCTTCCAAGAGAAGTCTGTCACTCCTTAAATAAACCTGGCTTTCTATGCTCGCCTCAGGGTGCTTCTCTAATGTTCACACTTCAACAGGTGAGGAAGCAGAACTCATCACCAATAACCAGTGATATCAAGATTGCTATTGCTGACAAGAAGGCATTCCACCTGACATCTTTATATACAATGCAAAATGTGTGTGTGTGTGTGTAACATGTGCGATCACCATGATCATTGTGGTCAAAATCCGTGAAAATCAGATGAAAGGAATTCTTGATAGTCCTAGAAACTTCGGAATATGCCACAGAAACCTAAAAATCAAGTACTTGCTGTTTTTCATAACCAAAAAAAAAAAAGGCCTCTTATACCATTTATGACAGTTATCAATGTGTAAAATTCACAACTAGATGGCTGGATTTGTAGCTGAAGGCTCAGTCATTAATAAACAAAGTCTCAAATATATAATGAATGTAATAAATGTGTGTGTTTTTTGTTGTTTTTTTCTTTTTTGGAGGGGCTATATATGAGATGCTTTTCTATTGCAAAGATATGTGTGCTCTGTAATGGGCAAAAATCATTACAATCAACAATATCCTACAAGTTTATAATTAAAAACACAGAAATAGTGCCCTAATAAAGAGCCAAATAGATGCACATTCCCCTAGAAGACTTTTTAAAAGCTTGGGCAGGCCTTTTAGACTATGTGCTCATATGATAGTGAATGGAAATATAATCCATTCTTTATCTCAATCTATAGTTTGATTATTTCTAAAAAGGGTTCAGAACTATTCTCCATAGATCAGAGTCCATACATTCATGTGTTTAATGAGCCACTCCTGCTGAAGAAACTGATTTATGGCTTCACTTTAATCTTCTCATCATGTTGTTACAAATGATGTCTTGAGATGACCTTCAGAACAAGTGTCCACTTATGGAAAGAATGTGAAAGGATCAGTACAGATTCTAGCACCTTTTTACCTTCAGCTAATACATATGACACCTCTTAAATTTTTGTTTTTTGAGGGAGGGAGATGGATAAAGCTGAGGATCAAACCCTGCAGAGACTCTTATATCCTAGGCAAGTAAGTGCTTTACCACCAAGCCACATTCCCAGCTCCATGTCTACTATTTTAGAAGAGCTTACTCTTACTAGAAATAAAAACAAATAAAATGGAAAAACTGCAAGATATATTTCTGTGGATTCTCATGGGATAGCTCCTTGATATCCATCCTATACTCATTTATCACATAGCACAATATTTCATTTGTCATTCTTTCTGGACTCCAAAGAAATCAACCTGGCTTTCTTATCTCATTCTTTGCTTCAAAAGAATTTTACTTTCAGGAATAGTAAAAAGCTTCACACTTTGTTTTTGTTTTCAAATGTTTTTTTTTTTTTTTGGAGGGGGGGGTTTGTTTTGTTTTTTATAAAATGCCTTGTGCTTCCCCAATGACTACTACTTCTAACCTACAGAACTTTTATTGCATATATTTAAGCTTAAATTTTCATAGACACCAATTATTTTAAGAATCAGTTTTGGATTCTCACACTTTCAAGGGCAAAAGTATAGTCTCCTTCTATGGACACTCTACCTTTGAATAATTCAAATGTTAATAATTTTTCTGGCTGTCCATTATCCTTGCCTTCATGAGTAATGATATATTTAACAAGACAAATATAATGATATATTTTCCAGCACAAGCAATTTTTTATATGTCTCATTCTGTCTTCACTCCAGTATCATATTAAATATTATTGAATCATATTCAAAATCCAGTGTTTTGAAACCTATGCCATCAACATTTAATAAGAAACCCCAAACACAGGAGGAAAAGAAGATCCTGATACGACTACCTATGGAATACAAAATAATACCAAACATTGTTTTTACTGAAATATTTCACACTTTTTGCAAATCTTCATTTGGTGTATATTTTACTCAAATAATATTTACATTTTATTGGAGGTCACTGTATCAGCCTTAAAATTACAATCATAAATTAATGTCATGAGTTGCTCAAATATACCTGATATTTCCCAATTAATGCAGAGTAGCTTTTTAAATTAAACCACATTAAAAAAATTCAGTCCTTAGGAGCAACATCCATATTTCCAATGTTACAAGTCGCTCTACTTTATCAGACAGTGCATATCCTAGGAGGAACTGTTAGAGGTGTAGAGGTGGTCATAAGAAGTCATTAAATAAATTTAAATGTGATCACAAAAATTTCACAATGACTTTTTAAATCAAAATTTTACACAAACACAAAGATGGGAATTAGGATAGCATCTGAAGGTACAGCCAGGCTGCCAAAGAGCTTAGGAAAAGATTCAAGAGCACTGAAGTAGAAGTCCATCTGTGGGCCCACAGACTTCGTTCCTATTACCCAGTGGATCTCAGTTCAGTCCTCACTCCCTAGACCATCCTAACAGTGTCAATAACCCTTTTGATTTGATTCTGAAAGACCCTCCTTTTCCCTGTCCAAGGAGAATCACACGAAACACTGGCTGCAAAAGCAAGAGGTGGTTTATTGAGACATAGGCGCCTGCGGGTGCCCAGCAGAACCTCAGCCGGAGCTTTGGTGAACTGGCACACCGGGCTTGGGGATACAGAGATTTTTATAGGGTTTAGGACAGGTTTCGTGTGCGCGGGAAGCAACAGGTTTCTTATTGGTTTCTTTAAATCTAGCATATAGGTCACCTAGGGGGTAAGGTTGTTTTTCACTTTATGTTCCCGGAAAACCCACAGGTTTACATTCCGTGGTTCTGTTCTTGCTTATCTGTTCCTGTTTGTTCATGCATGCCCCAGGATGTGGGTGCTATGTTCCTTCTTAACCGGTTATGTGGAAAGCACGTCTGGCGCCTGAGCCTGTTTATGACATGCCCGGTATCTTGATTTCATATCTTGGCCTTAGGTAACTGGGCTAGGGTCTCTCATTCCCCCTTTTTCTATGTCATGGATAGAATCTTATATCCACTGTTCTGCCTGTTCAGGCTCTTGGACCAGATCTGTCTGCAACCCTGCTTGTTGCTGGAACAACTGGTATTGCTGAGTAAGGACCATGGTTTGGATTATGGATAATCTTTCTTTTATAAATTGTACTAATCTGTTGAGTATGCAAGGCCCAAACGTTAGGATTATCAGTAAAATAACCAAAGGTCCAGCTATAGCGGATAACAAGGTTGTTAACCAGGGGTATTTACTAAACCAGTGCTCAAACCATCCCTGTTGATTTTTGAATTCCTTCTGTGTCTTTGCCAATCTTTCTGTGACTTTTTCCATAGTTTCTCTGACAACCCCCATATGGTCAGCATAGAAACAACATTGTTCTTTTAGGGCCACACAGAGGCCACCTTCTCTAAGGAACAGTAAATCTAATCCTCTCCTATTTTGCAATACCACCTCTGAAAGGGAAGAGACGGACTTCTCTGGGGCCGTAATAGATTTAGCCATGGCAGTTAAATCTTCGTTCATAGCTGCTTGTAAATGTAAGAATTGGCTCCCCTGCACTAAGGCTGCAGTTCCTGTTCCTACCCCTGCGGCTATTCCTCCAACGCCCAGCAGTATGGCTATAGTCAGGCTTATGGGCTCCCTAGGATACCGCTTTTGCCCTTCCGGATGTCCTAGGACGTAGTCTGATCTTAGATATGATATCCTAGGCCATAATTGTATTAACACACAAAAATCAGTGGATGCGTTGAGGACAGCCGTAGAAATGCAGGGGGTCAGTCCAGTATTACAAGCCCAGTAAGTCCCGTTGGGGCCCCACAAATAGCTATTTTGGAAGCCTATCACTTGGAGGGTGGTATTACAGAGTGGTTGGTGGAGTGGAGGTACGTTCCCTATGCAGATCCCCTGTCCTGAAACCTCAGTGATGGTTAGCTTGGAGCTTGGTAAGGAAGAACACTTACTGTCTGGACTACTGCTATTGGTCCAATTTGAAACTGTGGCAATTCCCTCATAATGGGGGGGGGGGCTAGAAGTGAGACACAGTCAGCAATCCTGGGTCCAGTTAGGGTTGGTAGAGTTGAGGGCATAATATGCTCCTTGGATTAACTTAAGAATCGATCCCCAGTACCGGAAGCAGGGGGTAAGTCGTGTTTGGAGGGCTGATACTGCTGGCAGGCGAATGGTTTGCTGATGGTGTCATGACAACAGGTAACAGAGATTGAGATGGAACTCTCTGTTCAGCAAGTACTGAGTTGGGGCCTACGTGTCTCATTTCATCTCTGGTCTCCAACTGGAGTCGGAGCAAAAGACCTGGATTATATTGACTTGGGGTATACAAGCGGGCTCCCCATAAATATCCTTGGAGCCAACCTATCTGCTTCTTTCCTTCCTCCGTAAATTTGATGGTTATATTCGATTCTCCTGTAGTTGTCTCGGAGAATTGTACATAGTCATTTCTAGGTTTTCCTTTTAGCCAATATCCATTGGAGCTGGTCTCGCAACCCCATGAGGCACAGAAGTAGTGTTCAGGTCCCCCACATTGCCAGGTGCGAGAACGCCCTGGGCACAGATACCATGATCGGAACCTGCAAGGAGGGTAGGTGTCCCCTTTATCTCTCTGCGTATTTTGCCAAGATCCCTCAGCTAGTTTGCAGAGATCAAAGGTTAAGTCTGGCCACCAGGTATTTAAAGCATGATATCCCTGAGCTAGAGTCATCTTCTTGCCTGTCTCTACATTACTTACAGTCCAGATTAAAGTTTTGGAAATATGGGGACTATTACCTAAGACCATGGGGGGCAAGCAGAAAGCAAGAACAGTTAGCAGCGCGTAAGTCTTATCTTTAGCGGGTTTTGAGTGCGTTGCAACTTCCATTCTGGATCTGGAGGGGTGACCGTTGAGTCTTGCGGATGTGCAACCTTCAAGTGGGAAGCGTGGATCCAGGCGGCGATGCCGTCCACTTTGATTGCAGTAGGAGTGGTCAGCAGGACGGTATAGGGTCCCTTCCACCGTGGTTCAAGGTTCTTATTCTGATGCCTGCATACCCAGACGGTGTCCCCGATTTTGAACGAATGTGGCACCAAGGAGGCTTTGAGTTCTTCCTTATATGCCGCTGCCAATGGTTTCCAAACCTCGTTCTGGACCAATTGCAATGCGCGCAAATGAGTCTGCATAGATGGGGTAAGGGAGGCATAGATTTCAGTTTGTTAATAGCAGGTGGTGGGGCACCGTACAGAATTTCAAATGGGGTTAGTCCCTGAGGGCTTGGGGTATTCTGGGCCCGGTATAAGGCTAAGGGTAGAAGTTGTACCCAGTCTCTAGTGCCAGTTTCAAGCGTTAATTTGGTTAAAGTCTCCTTGATGGTCCTATTCATTCTTTCTACCTGTCCTGAACTTTGGGGTCTATAAGCACAATGTAATTTCCAATTAATCCCCAATGCATTGGCCTGACTTACCTGGGAGACAAAGGCAGGCCCGTTGTCCGACCCAATTGTTTCAGGTACCCCATACCTTGGAAAAATTTCTTCCAGTAATTTCTTAGCAACAACTTTAGCAGTTTCATGGCGGGTAGGAAACGCTTCTACCCACCCGGAGAAAGTATCAACAAAAACCAAAAGATCCAAGGCTAGCAATTGAGGGGTCCGGTTTGTACCTCTTCTGGGGTTGGGGGGTTTCTTTGGGCAGTCCTTTACCCAATGTCCCCTTTCCTTGCAGTAGGCACATTGGTCTCGGTCTACACGGGGTCTGCCCCGTTTCCTTTCCTTGCCTGTCTTATCTCCTCGTTGCCCTGCCTGAGCTACAGTGGCCAATATCTTACTTAATTCTTTATTATGCTTCCGATCTCTCTTGTCTAATTCTTCCTTAAATTTGAGATCTCTTTCCTCCTGCATTTTCCTGATTCTTTCCTCCTTTTCCTCTGGAGTCTCTCTTTTGTTAAAAATCTTTTCTGCTTCTCTCAATAAATCTGCTAGAGAAAAATCTCGTAAGTCATCTAATCTTTGTAACTTAGTCCTAATATCTGGAGCGGACTGCCAAATAAAGGCCATAGAAATGTTTCCCCTCTGATCCTCACTGTCGGGGTCAAAAGGTGTGTACCTCTGATAGGCTTCCTTTAGTCTCTCTAAAAATGCAGTCGGAGTTTCCTCCGGTCCCTGTGTAGTCTGTCTTACCTGAGCCAAATTGGTGGGCCGTCGCCCTGCTCCATGGAGACCCGCTATGAGTAACTGGCGATAGAGACGTAGGTGGTTCCTACCTGCATCAGTGTTATAGTCCCAGTCTGGCCGAGTCAAGGGGAAAGCTTCATTAATCAAATTTGGGAGTTGAGTGGGGCGCCCGTCATCCCCTGGCACATTTTTATGGGCTTCCAGGAGAACTTTCTGTTTTTCCTCAGAAGTGAGAAGGGTCTGTAGAAGCTGCTGGCAATCATCCCATGTCCGCCAGTGAGTCACTAGAATAGATTCTATCAGAGAAGTTAGAGCTACAGGGTCACTGGAAAAGGATGGCTTATGTGTTTTCCAGTTATAGAGATCAGAGGCAGAGAATGGCCAATACTGATACTGGCCATTGGGGCCTCCCAAGAGGAAAACTCTAGATGCATCTCCCGAGGCGGCAGGCTCCCGGTGGCCACGAAGTCTCCCGACCATGGGGATGGACCCGGAGGGTTATTGGTGACAGGATCTACTTGTTCTTCCTCTTCCTCCGAGGAAACCTGGATGGAATCAGGAGCCGGTGCGGGTTGGGGCTGATGGGGGGGGGGGGTTCTTCAGTCATCAGATCTATGAGAGTTGAGTCTTCTGGCAGTAAAACCTTCTTGGGTTTTGTCCCTGTCGGAGTCACCTTTCTAGATTTATCCAGAATGGGATAGAGTCTGGAGTTTTGAGGAGGGATAAGTGGAGGGGAAGGTGGAGGTGGGGCTTCGGAAGGAGATCCTAGATCAGGCTTAGGCGGAGAGAAAGGGGCAACCCAAAGGGGTGGGTCAGAGGCCAAATCCTCCCAGGTAAGGATGTAGGGTACTTGATCAGGGTGTCCCTGAGGACCTCGGACGAAAACCTGGGACTTCACCTGTAATATAAGATCAGGGTTAAATGTTCCTTCTTTAGGCCAGCCCACACTGAGTGTTGGCCACTCTGCAGTGCAGAGTGTTATCCATTTCTTCTTCTTGACCTCTACCGAGAGGTTATTTGCCCGATTTCGGACGTCTTGCCAATGGTCGAGGGTGAGACTCAAAGGGGTTGTGATTGATTGCCCCATGTTAATTCTAGATGGAAGAGAAAAGTAAAGAGACAAGAAGGCAGACACAAAAATCAGACCAGACAGAAAGAGCGCTGCGCGGTTTCGGCACAAACCGAAAGAATCTGAGGGCTTAGGAGAAGTAGATGTATCTCCTTTGCTCACGAGGACAGAGTATCCCTCACAAACACTGGGGGCCCCGAAAAAATGGGCCCCTCTGATCCCTGGGACGTCTCCCAGGGTGGCAGGGGAGAAGTTTGAGTTCGTCAACTCCTTCTCAAGCTGCCCAAAATACAGAGCGACTACACGTAATCTGCGGATAGAGCGCACAGACAGAACAATAAAAACAGAATATCAGTCAAGGGTTACAAACATAGGAGTGACACCAGACGACACGACAAACACGACGTGAGCTGGCCAGCTTACCTCCCAGTGATGCCAGGTGGTCCTTTGGCAGGAATCCAGACGGGGGGGGGGGGCGGGACCTACAAAATGAAAGACCCTCCGTTTCCCTGTCCAAGTGAACAGTTTCTTTTAAATTGGAGAGAAGCAAGTAAATCATGCATATTCGACATGACAAAGAGTATTTATAAAAATTCATCCACAGTCCTAAGCATGGCTTCAATCCTACAGGTACTTCTAGGTGACTGAATCAATGGGCAAGCAGGAACACACTGCACTGTCTCCTCCTCCCTCCGCCTAGGGGTTTCGCAAGCACTGTGGGCGGTGACCAATGATTTTGGAACAATTTCTCACTTTTTCCCGCCCTCATGTCCGGTTTTCAATAAGGTCCGCATGAGGACTATAAACATACGTTTTGCAGCATTGTGAGCTACTCGTCCCCAACTTTTAGCCATGTCTGGCCGCGGCAAAGGAGGCAAAGGCCTGGGCAAAGGCGGCGCCAAGCGCCACCGCAAGGTGCTGCGCGACAACATCCAGGGCATCACCAAGCCCGCCATCCGCCGCCTGGCCCGCCGGGGCGGCGTCAAGCGCATCTCCGGGCTCATCTACGAGGAGACCCGCGGCGTGCTCAAGGTGTTCCTGGAGAACGTGATCCGCGACGCCGTCACCTACACGGAGCACGCCAAGCGCAAGACGGTCACGGCCATGGACGTGGTCTACGCGCTCAAGCGCCAGGGCCGCACCCTCTACGGCTTCGGCGGCTGAGTTTCACCTGCGCCTACCCAGAAAAACTCTAAAACGGTCCTTTTTAGGGCCACTTTAATTTTCACTCTAAAGGGCTGTGAAGTTGCTTTGCTTTTGTCTTCTTCCTGCAGTTGAAAATAAGGTAATTCAGAGGGTGTACTGCTCTAGGCCTAACTTGTTCCATCAAGTGCTATAACTGCTTACTCCTTGATGATGCGGTCATGTCAGGGAGTGAACCCTTGCCAATGAATCACAATGGGCTTGGTCTGTAGAAACTCGCCGGAGTCTACCAGTAAAAGGCTCAAGTTGTCCATGGTTTAGGAAACAGTATTAACCTACCTGTTATTTCTCTTGCTCCATGCTATTTTATAAGCCATAGTTTTGATAAAGTTTTGGGTATTTTTGTCAACCATAAAAGCAAAACAGGTGCTTGGCTATAGCATAATTTTAATAAACACCAAGAAATAAATTTTTAAATATTCCAAACGAGTCAGGTAAAGCTTATCTTCTGTATCTTGGCCTTGAAAGGCAGCAGAATATGCCAACCCAAAACATGCCATTTGGGAGTGAAGATACAGAACAAAATCTGGAGTGGGAGAGGAGACGGGTTAGGCACTCTCCCCTTGCCTCTACTTTCTTTGCCCCAAATCAGGGAGATAACCCTCCGTATGTAACATACCCTCCCTATACCTGAATGAAAGTATTTTTATCACCATAGTTCAGCAGGCCTGTGAAGAGAAATCTGTACAAAATAAGCCTTATTGAAGAAATGCTTAACGTCCAAAGTACTGTTCCACCATTAATGGCCATAGCACAAACCCCTTTTTTAAAAAATATTTTTTAGTTTTAGATGGACACAATATTTGTCTATATGGTGTTGAGGATCTAACCCAGCGCCCCATGTATGCCAGGCGAGTGCTCTACCGCTTGAGCCACATCCCCAGCCCACAAACCCCCTTTTTATGTCTTCATCATTTACTCTTCTGTCAGATTCAGTATTTAGGCATTCAATTTCTACGTATACCTATGGGTCTTAATTTTTATGATCTCACATGTCATGGAATAAATGTGTATCTTTCTCTTGATAATCTTTGACATGGATCTCAGCCAAGAAAACAGGAGGTTAAAAATGAAATGGAGATTTTTTTCTTTTTCCTGTCCTAGTTTTTACAAGAGGTCACTGGCAGTAGCCCATTACAGGCACCTTCAAATGGTGCACTTCACCTCACCTCTAAACCAGATTCCTGCTTACAGGCTAATAGAATCAATAAGAATACCATGGAGTGGTATATAGTCAGTCTTTCTTTTGGTTCTTAGACATCTATTTTTTCTGACAGTACTGAAATGGAATAATTCATAAGGTGGCCTCCACGATATTGTGTGAACATAGCCTGTAATTTTTATCTACTAAAAGATTTACACTTAAAAAAAAAAAAAGTAACCTATCCTGTTTTCACTACTATTTCACCATCAAATATCAAGTTCAGGACCACCACAGACAATTATCATGGCTTGGTGGTTTATTTTCACAGTTTTTAAGCATTGGCATGTGCTCAAATACAATTGAAAAGGTCATTTCACTTTCAGCAGCACAAATATAAATGGTCTACTTTCAAGACAGGAACCATATGCGACCACATCTTTGTGTGCTTTGTGGATGCAAAACACAGTTCTTGCTCCAAAAAGAGATAATGTATTCTGAGCCAAATATGATTGGCCAAGGCATGGGAATATGTATTGAGGTCACTCTGAAGAATATGCTCCACAACAGAAGTGGTTACGTAAAATTTAATAATCACACACACACACACACACACACACACACACAAAGATAGAAATCAATGCATTTACTGCACACACCGTTGAGGATATAGATCAGTAGGGCTGCAACAGAGTGGGGAAAATTCTTGTATATAGGTTTCAGATGTTATTTCACAACATTTTTACACTTGAGGATTGGTGAAATGTAGAGGTCAGCAAAGCTGAAAAGAAACTTCCAAAAGATTTAACTAGTAGTCACAAGTATATTAGCTCAGATACACAGGTGGTAGTAAATAGCTATTAAATTGATTAAGGCTAGCCCAAGATCATTTTGCCTCTCAATCTTGCAGCAGTCCATCTCTCCACAATTAAGATGTTCCAGTCAGCCAAGCAGCTTGCAGGATCTTCAATACAACAGTGGCTTCTTCAGAGAACTTTAGATCATACCTCCAGGGAATAACAGAGCTCTTAAAATCCATCCCTCTCCATATCTAAGTGAAGGAAACTTAGTGACCCAAACTAAGTGAAAGCTGGGAACAGAAAAATTTAATGTACTAGACAACAACGGTAACAACATTAGACTTTCAGGTTCAAAAACACACTCAGGCCTATTCTTTCTGTACTGTAGCAGTGACATTACATCACCTCAGTAAAATGTATTTTTCAATTTGTAAAGCACATAAAATCAAAAAGTAGGCAACATATTAGAAAGCACCCAAGGCCCAGTCATATAAGCATCGGGCAACATTGAACTTTGCAGTTAGCCAGTATAAAATTATGAAAGCTAAATATGGGACAAGTTTGAGAACATTCAAGTATTTAGAAAATCACTATATACAGACTTTAAGGCCTGAAAATAAATAAATAGTATAAAGTAGTACTACAGTAGTCCAGTTTATTTTTTGAATATAGCCCCTGCTGCTCTGACACTGAAACATTTTTTAAATGGACTTCTTTCTTTCTTTTTTTTTTCTGCCTGCTCCTCCCTAATCTCTCCCCCTCCCTAATCTCAGGGCAAATACAATTACCTTTCTTCTCCATCCTAGACAGTTATTTGTCCTTGAGCACATGTCCACCATTGGAAGGAAGTAATTCAGACTTTGGGGATGGCAGCAGAAGATTTCAGAAATGACTATCTCCCAAATTAACAAATGAATTAGAAGTCTAAACAGACAACAGATTGAATGTAGCCTTTGAATCACACCTTCCAAAACCCCCAGTTCCTGCTGATGAACAGAATCACAGCCTTTGGGATAGGAGTCCCCAGTGTTTCTCCTTTGCAAGCAAAGCAGTAAACCTTCCTTTTCTTTTTTCTCAAAATCAAGTCCTCATTATGGGGTTGGCATCAGGGACAATACCAGGCTTTTGGCAACACTACATACATATAGGGACAGGAATTTCCTCCTATACAGTTCCTAAATTCTGCTGCACTGACTAAAGTAAACCACACACACTGTCATAATGTTTCCTCCTTATGTAAAACGGGTCAAATGTGAAAAGAAGATAAAACATATTTACAAAACATAGTACAAGTACCTCGATCTGGCAAAAGTGAGTGGCTCTGATAAAACTATTTGATGATATCTAAAACAAAAACACACAACATCTGTTGCAGGTAAACTTATTACAACTTTAAACTGTTTGTATTTGGTAAACTCCCCTGACAGCAATAGGCACACATCTATCTGAACCTCCCTAGAGCTGACAGTTGAGCGCTATAAGTGCCAGGAGAGACTTCATGCTCTGAAACACATTCAGGATGCCCAAGGCCTTAGACTGAATGCCACAATCAGGATGGACTTTATCCAGGACCTTACAAACTTACATAAAATAGCTGTCTTTGCTGTAGTGTTTGGGTTTTGTGTGTGTGCACGGGTGATCCTTCCACTATATCTTAGCTCTGACATTTTGGAAACTAGTAGTCTCTTTCTAAAATGGCTTCAATAAAAAACAAAAAGACAGGAAAATTTAGTTCCGCTAACAGTGGCTCAAGGTCCTACTATATAAGGAGACTCATGCAAAACAGGACTTAGAAGTCTACGCTCTGATTGGAGCATATTACCCAATGGACTAAGAGTATGTAAATTGTGCGCTTCCAATCTGCTTTCTTTTCATTGGCTGAAAAATGAGCTTCCTGGGGAGCCAATAGGCTGATTTTCGTGCCATATCATAATTTTCTTTATTGAGAATTTTTCCCAGTAAATGTCCCTTTTGAAAAGATGTGCCGACTGTGGCGTTTGAATGTTAAAACAAGTAAAGGAATCCTGTTGTCTGGGGTCAGCTCTGCCGATGTCTGAAATTGCGCAGGACACCTATGATCTCTCCAGCAAGAATTCCGAGACCTGCGTCACGGGTGCCTGAAAAGACACAGCGGCTCTCCGCCGCCATCTTGCCGGGGTTCGCGTCTGCCTTAAAGAGCCAGCGACAAGTTAGAGGATCCTGCAGCGTGTGCCCGTTGGGAAACAAAATTCTTTACTTTGGAACAGAATATCATAAAAAACTGTGTCTAAGAGGCTTAGATATTTACAGTAAATATAATGAAACTAAGATTCAGAAAAGATGCGTGATCAGTAGACAATGGACATAGATGTTTTTCTTATTTTTTTAATGGTGCTGGATTGCACCCAGAACCCTCACGCATGTTAAGTAAGCATTGCACCACTAGCTCACACTCCTGGCCCTGGACTTTTAAAGGGGCGGATGAGGACACTTGGATGGAAATATTAAGTAAGCAAATTTTTTTAAAAAGCTTTTGAAAACTAGAATCCTAAGGCAACTCATTCTGTTTTGTAGAGCGGAACAATAACCTACGATTGTTTATATGTAATGTTAGAGGTATGACACATTGTCAAAGTAACTGTTCAGAAAACGGTTTTTAAAGACTATTTAACTGAAATTGCCGCTCAAAATCTGCACTGAAAGAAGCAAGAGTGAACCACCCCAAGCACTTCTGGACTCCACCCACGGACTACGAGGGCGTTCTTCACAATCCAATCGGAGTGCAATCCAATCAGGGCCTTTCTGTTTGTATAAATAGAGGAGCCAGCAAAACTTCCTCCTCTTACTGAGCTGACCCAAACTCATGGCCCGCACCAAGCAGACAGCCCGTAAGTCCACGGGCGGCAAGGCCCCGCGGAAGCAGCTGGCCACCAAGGCCGCCCGCAAGAGCGCCCCGGCCACCGGCGGCGTCAAGAAGCCTCACCGCTACCGGCCCGGCACCGTGGCGCTGCGCGAGATCCGCCGCTACCAGAAGTCCACCGAGCTGCTGATCCGCAAGCTGCCGTTCCAGCGCCTGGTGCGCGAGATCGCGCAGGACTTCAAGACCGACCTGCGCTTCCAGAGCTCGGCCGTCATGGCGCTGCAGGAGGCCAGCGAGGCCTACCTGGTGGGGCTGTTCGAGGACACCAACCTGTGCGCCATCCACGCCAAGCGCGTCACCATCATGCCCAAGGACATCCAGCTGGCCCGCCGCATCCGCGGGGAGAGGGCATAAAATATTTTGCCCAGTGAGTGTTCGAGAAAGGTTTAAAGGCTCTTTTCAGGGCCAACTACATCTTACTGGAAGATGCTGCAGTACTCGCAAAGTAATGGAGAACTTTGCACTCACTTAAGGTCAAGTTATTAAGTAATGTGCTCTTTTTACCCTTTTAAGTCGAGCGCTTTTTCCATGGTTTCTGCCCTACCTAGTTATAAATACAAAGATTTATGTTGGTGTCTAATTGGTAAATCTTTAGGGACTTTTCAACTTATACTTGGTTTTCTGCTTCTTTGCACTATTTCAAGCAATGGCCGTCCACCTTAGGCACAAACACTTAAAATAGTTGGATTTACATAATTCCACTTTGATTTTGAAAATAGTCCAGGTTGTCAAGGCTCCTGGTATGCATCAAGGGATACCTGTTATGGAGGCCCATCTCTACTACTGCAAGCCAGCCACCTCGTGGCCCTGCGTGCAACCCTTATGGCCAAGGTTTCAATTATTACCCAGAATATGAAGGACATAGATTTTGCAAAGTACTTGGCAACGTTCATTATATCATAAAACCCTGGTCCTAGGGAAGGAAGCTTATGTCCAAACGGGACCTGAAGGCAAGGGAGACAGCAATTCTATTCTGAAACTACACAGGCAGACTACCTTGAAAATGTAGAAGGATATGTATGGCGGGAGATTTCATGTTAAACAGTCCAGCCTGGGCAACTTAGTGATACCCTTCTCTCAAAAAAACATATTCTTAAAATAAGGGAAGAAGACAGGACATGTGGCTTGGAGTAGAGAACCAGCTGTTTTAAGTTGCAGGCTTTCTTGCAATTGCCAGAAGGCCCTTCTCAAAAAAAAAAAAAAGAGCCAGCTGGGTTGAATTCCCAATATCACAATAAATATTTAAGAATAAAACGTTATTAAGATATGCTTTTGGGTGGTAAAATCAATATAGGCAATTTCTTTTTTTTTTTAATATTTATTTATTAGTTATTGGCGGACACAACATCTTTGTTGGTATGTGGTGCTGGAGGATCGAACCCAGGCCGTACGCATGCCAGGGGAGCGCGCTACTGCTTGAGCCACATCCCCAGCCCCTATATAGGCAATTTCTTTACACAAGCAAAGTAATCATAGTAAATCCTGGCAATTATATAAAAAAAATTATAATCATGGAAAATCTGCAAAACATTTGAGACTTGAGTGCTCTGAACTCGGGCATTTGAGTATCTGAAGAAAAAAAGATCAACTGTCCACAATTAAAATACTAGACTACTAGATATTTTTAACATTATTGACCCCTACAATGTTGGAAAAAAGCATTCCACGATTGAATGTATTACTATAAATTTGTTCAAATTCTGGCACATAAGTTTTCAACCTCTTTCTGTCAGAGTATTGGACTTGGAGGAATGAAGATTCATTTGGCACACAAAACATTGTGTCATTAAATCCACCAGAACACCTAGGATGCTCCTTTGACTAAAAAAAAAAAAAAAAAAAACCTCAGAAAATATTTTGATCAAATTAACACTTAAATAAAAGATTATTTAGCAAACAAACTTACCATTGAATGCATTCCTGGTTATATAGTTTTATGTAATGTATATATGTAATGTATACCTGTTAATATATTTTAAATAAGGTTTATGTAATTTCAATATATAGTTTTGGTAACCAAAATAGGAATAATCAACATTTACTGTGTATTTTCAATTTGCCAGACGTCATGGATCATTATATGAACCTTCAACAGTACACTACTAGCTAAGACACATAGTGGCTATTATATAAGCACTAAAATGAAGCGGAAAGTAAAAAATTTAGGTAAGTGGTGGATCCAAAACCTTTCCCTTTAATAATTATGATTTTTTAAAGAACAGCATCAGCACAATTATCACCAGTTCCCTGAGGACTTTATCATCTAAGAAGCTGTCAAAGGAAGACTGTAATATTTTCATTGGCACAATTTTAATTATTTCATATTGCATATTTAAAATAAATGCATTAATTTTGAAATTAACAGGTTCCTATGTAATTATGAAGTTCTATTGTACAATTACAGAAAGTTGTCAGAAAATGTAACTGATAAATGTACATAAAAACTCAACATTGGCAGGTTTTAGATTTTATACCCAGCATGTCATTAATACCCTAGATGTATTAGCTACATACATAAACACACACACACACACACACACACACACACACACACACACATTTTTTTTTAATTTTCAAAAGCTAACAGACAGTGGTTACTAACTGATGTTTTAAAATGAATTTTGATTATTGCTTACGGAAGATTACAATTTGAGTCATAATATTTTATATGTTGGTACATTAAACTATATGTATCCATTCCAGGGCCTTCTGTAACTACTGTTGGAGCATAGAAAATGATACCCCAAGCTAATGCAGCTTCAAAAACAAAATTTCTTTCTGACCTTCAACTGTCCTGTCTCTATCTCCTCTTCCTCCCCCATCCCGAGGCATGTCACTGAAATTGGATTTTCTTCCTCCTAATAAGACATTAGAGTCACTTTCCCCCAATGCAAGCCATAAAGCCTAAATATATTATTCTAATTTTCCCCCATCTTTCATTGCCTGGGAGCTGGACATAATGAACTTCCCTAACCTACCTTGTCTGATGGTGGATCAAAAGATTTTTCATAACATTCTTAACATTTTTCATAACATTTCACCTAGTTAAGAAGGAGCTGCTCCTCAACAAGGAGGAAAGACTGTCACTCAGCAAGGTCAAGAAGAATCTGAAGAGTCTTGCTGGGTTTCCCTACATATTCTATTATCATTAAATTATGTCCAATCATATGTCTACATGGCTGTCCATATTTTATCAAACATAAGCATATAAATTAATAGTTTCCCTTGAGTTTGGGGTCTTCATGCTAAAAATTTCTATGTCATGTAAACTACATCACATAAGTTTATTACTTTTTTATTAACCTATCTTTTGTCATTGGGGTATCAATCATTGCTATGATGGATAAAGAAAGACATCACACTTTTATTCCCGTTACAGTACATATCATTTAAAAAACAAGTAGCCAGGCACATTGGTACATACATGTCATCCCAGTAATAACAAATTATCAAGACATTATCTCTAAATAAGAAGGGCTGGGTATTTGGTTCAGTGGTAAATGTACCTGGGTTCAAACCCCAGTATTAGTGGGGGGCGGGGGCGGGGGGGGGTGGGAATGTAATCTGAATGACCAGTGGCTTTGCCTTATGGAAATAACAGCTAAAACGCAAAAGACAATTAAGAAATTTTATGTATCATTTTTCCACATCTTCCTGCCTTATTAACCCAAAACAAAAGTAGTGCAAATACTTCTTGTTTCTGTTTTGTTGCTGTTGTTGTTTATAGTAAACCTAGCCCCAAAATTTTTGAATAGTGTACTTGAGAAGAAGACAATTTGAAAATCAAGCTGTGAAGAAAAGAATCGTAAAAGAGCAAGAGAATTATAATACTTTTGGCTTCGTATATTTAAAAAAATATACTGAAAATTGTTAATATCTGCCAATAATTTAACCCACTTGATGGCCTTTCTGAGATTCAGTTATTTTTTTCAACATACAAACACACCCAAAATAGAGGAAAACAAAACAAAGATTCAAGCCCTAGAATCTAGTAAAGAAAAAAAATAAGCACATTAAGATTTTTTTCTGTTGACAATCATGGTACCCAACTTCAATCTTCAAAAAAGAACACAGAGATAGCTTCTTTTCTTTTTTTAGTGGAATTCCTCTGTGTTGTCCAAGTGAGCCTTAAACTTGAGCTCCCCCTGTCCCAGGGCTTCATACTAACTGGAATTAAAGCACAACTCACCATGCCTGCCGGTAACTAGTTTTTAACTCAGATGACATTGTTCATGGAGATAGAGCTTGACATGGAATTGGAAGCATTAGGAAGAATCTCCCAAGTAAAGAATAGAGGGACTTACAGGTGAACAAAGCTGGGGGCCAGGGAAGAGTCTAATTTGAGTTGTTAACAGTGCTCATTAGTGTGAGCAAAGTGTTATAATGAAAAGATGCTACCAAGCTCTAGCTTGAACAAAGGCAGCTGGGAGCCAGTAACCATTCTCATCCAGTATAGTTTGGATTTCTTTTTACCCATGACCAGAATTTAGGAATGGGACATGGAAAAACTAGAGTTAGGAAACTAAAAAGATACAGTGTGTGTGTTGGGGGGGCGGGGGGAATGCAAGAGACTCTGACAAGTCTTTAAAAATTAGCCTAATTAATTATTAACAGGGATAGATAATCGAGGCCTCTACATAATAATGTTAACTGTGTTTTTCCCCCATAGTTAAAGAAACAAGCAGTTGTTAAGCAGAAAAAAGAAAGTGCTGACTTCAGAATGGTCCTAAAAATCACTTTGTCACACTTCCAACACACTCATCAGTGCCCTCCATCATCTGAGATAAAATCAAAATGCCTTCATGCCATCCATTCTAAGACGGCTATGGTCTTCTTTACTCAATGAGCATCACCTGAGGTGCTCATTGTAACTAAATTAAACTGCTACAGAAATTTGTGGAAATGGATGAAGACCTAAACAAGTTCTCAATACCTTGCAAACAAGTGCCTTTCCAAGGCATAAGAATGCACACACAAATTGACATAAACCAAAGGTCATGTTAAATTGGTCCAGTTGCATTCCAAAAGGATTATGACTTGAATAAATCACAATGAATCATATTAACAAAAAAAAATGTGAATTTCTTTCTCAGTAACCCTAAAAAAACAAAAAAATGGGGATCAGAAAAAGAATGACAGGATTACAGAACATATAAAAGATCCATTTCGTTTATTAACAATAAATGCTTATTTATGTTCATTATTTCTGTCTAAGCCACAATTTTGATAACTTTAAAACAAGAATGTAAACTACACCGAATGTCAGTAACATACTGAGATCCAAGGGAAGCAATTGCAGAGTTTTTATAAACCTTAATAAACCAGAGATCTTTTATTTCCTTTTTATTATTTCAGTCTCCCATTTACTCAGATCTCAATCAAGCCACTGTCACAAAGGGAGAAGGATCTGTGGCTTTCTCCTGAACAAAGGAAATCATATGATGCAGCCTGGTTTAAAAAATAAAAACAAAAATTGAGCTCCAGCTTCAAAAACTCTAGAAAGATACAGGTTTTAACCGTACATTTGAATTGAGAAATTTAAGTAGAATGTCGAATTTAATAACCTATTAACAAATAAGGGAATAATAACAAAGAATAAGATTCAGTCATTTTACTCCTAAGGGTTTGTGAGATTTGGTCCCACTTGTTTATATTACACAGAATATTACCAGGCATGGTTGCATATGCCTTTCACCTTGGGAGGCTGAGGCAGAAGGATCACTACTTCAAAGCCAGCCTCAGCACTTTAGCAAGGCCCTAAGCAATGTAGTGAGACTCTGTCCCAAAATAAATTATTAAAAGGGCTGGGGATGTGACTCAGTGGTTAAGTAACATTGGGTTCCATCCCCAGTGCCAATAATAATAATAATAAATTATTATTATTATTATTATTACAGAATGAGAGCTACTGACTTTAAAATACCCACCAAGAATTTTTTAATGTTTAATAACATCAAATTATACGATTCACTTTCAGGCATAATACTGAATATCAGTGTGAAAGAGTCAAAATGAGTGCAAACCAGTACCTACTATACCTGCAAAGTGACATGAAAGTATTTGCTATTAACAATGATGAAAATGTCACAGGTACTTCAAGATCCATATGTACCATATATATCTGTATATACTCATAATTGGAGGAATTGTTAAAATGCACTGAGGGTTAGTAAAAATAAAAATGTAGCGGCTGCCTACTAGAAGACAAAAACATCTATAGATTCTGGCAATGAACGTGAATTTTCCAAAAATAAAAGAAGTTTGAAAGCACAGAAATAATATAGAAATGGACCATCCAAGTCAACTCATGTTCCTACAGCCTTAAAAAAAAAAAAAAACCTTGATGTGTGAAGAACACAGTAGCATTTCCGCCTTCTCAAAGCTTTTTGTTGTGTTGCTCCCCCGTTCCGTGTTTACTAACTGAATAAACCAACATTGACTTCCTAGATTCTCAACAGTGAGAAAAGCAAAAGTAGACTCTAAACTGCGAAAGATGCTCTTTACTATTTACACTAAACTTTGGCATGATGGCTGCACTAATTAATGCTATGATAGAATGACAACAATAAGGAATCATTTTCCTCTAACAAACCTGATCTTCCACAGACCCCTAGTTAACATGAAGTAAATTCTAGATTTCATTGGTGCACTTCCAATTGCACGCCCAGGAATGCCAAAAGGCACGTCCTGATTGGATAATTCTAAACAGCCCAGAAGACAAAAAGGAAACCAACTTCAACGAAACTGCCAGACTACTTTTTCCCCCCATTGTCTTTTGACAGCTGCTTTTGTAATAATTCTGGGTGGGGGAAAACAAAAGGCTAGCATTCCTCAAGCCTGGATTACACTTGCTTTATGGCGGAAACCACACACTACCACTCAGTTCACCTGGCAGCAGTGCTTGGTAATCTGACTCGGCTACCTATTAGAAAATTAAAATCTCATCCAGTCAGCCAGAAGCACAGGCCACCAAGTACAAAACGCAACACAAAAGGCCTCCGTAGGCCAACCGGCTGCATAGGATTGGGCTGCTTTAGCTTACTAACCATGCGCGCTGCGGCAGAGCCATGCGCGTTAAAATGGCCAATCACATGTCAAGGCGGGAGTTCAAATTCCAAACTCAAAATGTTAGGGCCAAAACTAAGAACACGTTCTTAGTTATGTTCAGACCAGCTGAGCTCTTTTTAGTGAGGTCTGTGGGTGGCTCTGAAAAGAGCCGTTGAGATTTTAAAAGCAGGTCGTCCCGCTCCAATCTTACTTCTTCCTGGGGGCCGCCTTCTTGGCCTTGGAAACCTTGGGCTTAGCCGCCTTAGGTTTAGCTGCCTTGGGCTTTGGGGCCTTGGCCTTAGACGGACTCTTCGCAGCCTTCTTTGGCTTAGCCGCTTTCACCTTTTTGGGGCTCTTGGCAACCTTCTTGGCCCCTGCAGGAGCGGTGGGCTTCTTGGCCTTCTTTGGGGTCTTCTTGGCGGACTTCTTGGGGGTAGCTGCGCCCGTCGCCTTCTTGGGCTTCTTGGCCGCGCCGGCGGGCTTCTTAGCCTTGGCCGCTCCTGCCTTCTTGGCCTTGGGCTTGGCTTCCCCGGAGGCCGCCTTCTTGTTGAGCTTGAAGGAGCCGGAGGCGCCGGTGCCCTTGGTCTGCACCAGGGTGCCCTTGCTCACCAGGCTCTTGAGGCCCAGCTTGATGCGGCTGTTGTTCTTCTCCACGTCGTAGCCGGCGGCCGCCAGCGCCTTCTTGAGCGCGGCCAGGGACACGCCGCTGCGCTCCTTGGAGGCGGCCACGGCCTTGGTGATGAGCTCGGACACCGGGGGCCCGGACGCCTTGCGCTTCCCAGCAGCGGCGCCAGCCTTTTTTGCCTTCTTCTTCACAGGTGTCTTCTCCGCAGGTGCGGGTGTTGCGGGAGCCACGGGAGCGGTCTCGGACATGTTTCTAGTCTTGCCAGAAAAAGCTAAAAGTAAGCTCAAACTGTCAGAACGGCGAGTGCTGGGCGCCGGCGGCTGGGGTTTATATAGAGAGAAGCTGCGTGGTGATTGGTTCCCGGTGCCTTGCGCCGCGCAGTGGAGAGGGTTCCTCGGCTCTGCCGGGCAGCTGTGTTTGTTGCCCCTCAAAAAAGAATAAAAATAAAAGAAACCTGGGCACGAAACGATTAGGGGTTTGGGGAAAACGGATCCCAGAGGCTTCAGGCTTCATTCCTGCCTTGTTTTCTACATCTAGTTTCAAAACCGACACCCTGAAACTTTCCTAATTCCCCCAACTCTCTTTCTAACTTCAGTCAAATTGACACAACTTTCAGGTTTTCCTCAAAAATACTATTTCTCCCGACTTCGTTTGCAAATCTTTTTTTCTGAGTATTGTTCTGTGCATTTTCATCTTCTCAAGATCATATAAATATACTAATTTTGACTCAGATATATAGGGAAATTCGGGTTTTTCGCGGAAGCAATAACACAGGCACTCCCTCGAGCTGTTTGCACCAAGCTCTAGGAATTGGCACTGGGATAGAAACTTCTACATACAAGAGGGATGATTATTTTACAAAAATAACAGATTTTTTAAAGCATTTTAAATGCCACTGTATAAGTTGGGCTGATGAATCTGTTTTAGTGATTTAAACAGTTTCCAAAGATGGGAGTGAGGCACCTCCCTTCACCTTCTAGGTAAACATTTCTAAATAGATTTTCCAAACAAACATTGGGCATTAGAGATCAATTACCCCATCTGCAAAAAAACAGAGAACTGAATCAAGAAGAATACAATGGCAGTTCTACATCATTTCACTAACTTCTTTAATATAATTTAATGACAGGCGCCTTGTCATAAAACTTTTTCCTCTCCGAGCTTTAAAATAGAATGTTGTACACATTTCCTATTTCTCAAAATATACTACTTCAAATTTCAATGTTGAAAATGTGAACACAGAGGATTAGAAAAAATCACTTTCTGAAATTTCATGATTCTGACTGAGCTTTTTGCATGTGAAATATGAAATAGGATGCCACAAGTTATTTAATTCTAATTAACTGAATGTGTTCAACACTAAAGGTATTGAACAAACATGAGTGGTTTTCCTATAGCATCCCTTATAGTTTATAATACAATAGAGCTGATAGAATTGGGTTCTTATTTAACTAAGCACAAAAGCAATATTTTTCATCAAATAATCAGGTACCAAAATGAAGCCCCATGTTTGTAAAATAAAGAGAAAAACTATCTTAGTGTTCTGTTTCTTTTAATGAATATTTATATTTCCAACAACTGATTCGTGCTGACTTGAACATTTTGTCATGTAAATCCAAGACAGAATAATCAACATTACAGATGCCATGTCTTCACACTTAACCAATTCCATAAAAATAAGTTCTCTCATTTTTTTAGACTGTGTTGGCTGGAATCAAATCTCTGGGACGTTAAACCATGATATGTAACAAAAAATACAAATAGGAGTTCTACAGGATGCCAGCTAATAGGACTGCATCAGCAGCAGTGAATAATTCTTCTAGGAAACATTTTATGGATCTATGGAAGATCATCCTCTGTAGCATCTTTCATCACTAGCAGCAGGAAGAGACATTATATAAGTACTTTTCTTCTTAAGTGTATAGATTTACATTACGTAGACTTCAAGATACTAATAAAATTCAGGACATTCTCAAAGACATAACAGGATTTGTCTAATAATTGCCAGAATTGTTCACATATATTTCCTTAGCAGATGTTAACATTTCATTCTTGGGCAACTCTTACTGGTTCTCATGGTTATTTAGGTTAGCTATAAATGAGAAAACCTTGGGGCTAATGGACATTTCTTTATTTTTTGGTGTATAACCTCTGCCTTTCTTGGAGGGCAAAAACGGAGAATTGATGTCACTAGCAAAGTTCCTAGTCACATGTTTTTTTTTTGTTTTTTTAAAGAGAGAGTGAGAGAGGGGGACAGAGAGAGAGAGAGAGAGAATTTTAACATTTATTTTTTCTTAGTTCTCGGCGGACACAACATCTTTGTTGGTATGTGGTGCTGAGGATCGAACCTGGGCCGCACGCATGCTAGGCGAGCGCACTACCGCTTGAGCCACATCCCCAGCCCCTAGTCACATGTTTATAGAAGGTTTTGTGTGGAATATAGTTGCTCTATTATTGCTTCTTTGTAAATTCTAACATGGGCAGAGTTCCTGAAAGATGGATCACACCTGGGACTATAAATTAAAAGTCAAAAACAAGTTTCACCTATTACTTTGGTAGTTAGCCCTAAAAAAAAAAAAAAAAAGTAATTTCTCTTGGTAAACTCAAATCTATATACAAACACTCATATCTAGATCCATAGATTAAACCTAAAATGATAGGTTATTCTCTACACTAACATTAATTATTTTTATACATGTAAATATTAGTAGCTATGGCAATCTAACACATGGCTTCACGTTCTCTAACTTTTATATTAATTTCACCTCCACGATGAATGGCTAAGGTATTGGTCACTAGGTTATTTCACAGGGGCTATGTGTAAGCATTTTAAAATTCAGTGAACATCAGAGGCTTCAAGAGGTAAATATCTACACCGAATAAATGCCAAAAGCAGCAATGCAAGGACTAAAAGGAAGATGCAGTGTTGTTAGAACCAAATGTGCTTGAAAGGTCTATAGGAAAATTAGAAATCAGACCTAATGTCGCTTCTTACCAAATGGCCTTACGTGAGGATGCTGCACACTAGAAATTCCCCTGAGAGCACAAATACGGCATATTAATTATATTTTCTAAAAAAGATGCCACTGCTTTTAAATTTTCAAATTTTTTTATGTCTTTTTCCGATCTATGATGTCTGATGCATCCCAAAGCTGGCTTATTTCTATCACACTTGAGGAAATACTCTATATCCTCACTTCCTCCAGTGAGACTCCTGGTCAAGTATGCACCACACTCCCCTAGGATGGAATAGAAGTTCCTCCAAAGAAATCCCTTATCACAGCACAGACCAGAAGAACATTCAGCAATGAGAAAATATTCTCTATCTGCACTGTCTAATGAATAGAGGATACAGTAGATGAAGAAATTTTTAATTTCAGTTTAAATTTAAATAAGCACAGAAAGGTGGAGCGTAAGAATCACAGTTCAGAACACTTCTTTTCAAACTTATAGGAATGGTAAAAGCCTAATCCCAAATAGACACTGGGTCCAGGAGATGACTGTTTTCTCTATCTACAAAGCAAACACCCACAGAGAAGGGATTTTGAGAAATCCTCTTCCTCTATGATCTGAAAAGCACTGAATGCAAATGAGACCAATGAGGAAGCAAATGTTGAAATGTGCCTAAAATACATACAAAATCATGATCTGAATAGAACATGACTTTGGTCACTTTGTACTTGGACAGTATTCCACATAATTTATTAGCATTGTCTGTTAAACATGAATTTGCAAGTGTCATTCTTTATGACATGCAAGTAAATGTTTCTCCTAGTATAGAAAGTGGGAAGGTAAGGAGATTCAAGAATCAGACACCGAAATACCACTGAGTCAAAGAGGATCAGATCTCCAAGCCTGGGAGCTTTCATCTTTATAATACTGGCATCCCTTTACAAAGTGGTAAAGAATGGAAATACAATTGACACTGGCTCCCCTTACTAGAGCTACTTATAAGTAGTAGGTGTGTATACCTCATGTAGTGGTATAGAACTCAGCTAAATAACATTTCATGAGTGATCAAATTTAATCATGACTATTGGTAGAGCATAAAAATTTAAAATACTAGCCAGGCACAGTGGCGCACACTTGTAATCCCAGCTTCATGGGCGGCTAAAATTTGAGTATTGCACATTTGAGGCCAGCTTGGGACACTTGGTGAGAACAGTTCCAAAATAAAAAATAAAAAGGGATATGAATGTAGTGCAGATGTACAGCATCCCTGAATTCAATCTCTAGCACCCTCAAAAAAAATTTTTAAACTAGTGATTTCATTTTTTTAAAGAAACTTTCAATTTAAAATTTACTTTTGTTCTGGCAACTCTCGTTCTTGTACTCAAGGGTAGTATTAGAGGCTACTCTTTCCAAATCATAAGTATGGACTTGCACATCAGTTGTGAGAGAGGACCCGGACAGGCACTAACTATCCTGGAGAACTCTCGACCTGACTCAGAAACAAGAGCACAAAGCTGTCTTTCCCCTCCACTCAATATCCATTTCCTTGCTCCAAAGGCCATACTGTGGCAAACCAGAAAAGAGGCGGGGACAGAGGCCAGTGTTCCCGCCCGCGCTCTTTCAGTTTCCAAAAAGGTCCGCACTGGTGCTTCATAAATTGCTGCAGGGGGCGCCCAGCACCACAGCTGCAGGAACCAACTCTTGCAAACATGTCTGGCCGCGGGAAAGGAGGCAAAGGCTTGGGCAAAGGCGGCGCCAAGCGCCACCGCAAAGTCCTGCGCGACAACATCCAGGGCATCACCAAGCCCGCCATCCGCCGCCTGGCCCGCCGTGGCGGCGTCAAGCGCATCTCCGGGCTCATCTACGAGGAGACCCGCGGCGTGCTCAAGGTGTTCCTGGAGAACGTGATCCGCGACGCCGTCACCTACACGGAGCACGCCAAGCGCAAGACGGTCACGGCCATGGACGTGGTCTATGCGCTCAAGCGCCAGGGCCGCACTCTCTACGGCTTCGGTGGTTAAGCTTTTAATTGCTGGCCATCTCACAAAAGGCCCTTCTCAGGGCCACCCACATTGTCATGAAAGGCTGCCACAAATGAGATTTATAGAATGACAAGGACAAGTTCGGGTAGAAAGAAATGGAGCTTATAAGTGCAGGTTGGGCTTTTATGTTAACTATAGCACCGATTTTTACGACATAATAGTGCAGTTGCTCACTGCCTTTGAGGGGTCTTTATCATCACTTTAGCTCCCATCTCTTTCCGAGTGCTCTTTAGTAAATGGAGATGCATGCAACCTCGCAGCCCTGATTGAGCCCTGTAGTGATCAGGGTCTGTTAGATCAGAAGCTTGTGCAATTTATAAACTATCATCTGTGCAAAAATAAGATTAGCCAGTTATAATGTTGTAGAACATTAGTAACTATGCTTTATCTAGCATCTGCTTTCCTCCATAACCTCATCCCTAACCATCGTTTCTGCAACTGGAATGCCTATCAATGAATCCTTTATGTACTATTTTTTCTTCCACAAATAACTCAACTCGGGAGTTTTTCAAGTTTTCCTTTAGGAGACCTTTCCTTTACCTGGTTCTCCCACTCCCCAAGATTTTCTTATACTCTACAAAACTGCACTACAGATATGTCCCTACCAAACTTCACAGTTCACTTTAGGACTAGAGCCATTGCACACTAACAATATTTGATAATTAATGCTCCTTTTGTCTCAAGATTTCTTGAGGGAGGCCTTAAACAATGTCATGCTGTCCTCAGGACCTACAAAAATTATGTGGCACATTCTATTCATTTTATAAATGGCAAGGCAATGACTGAATGAATGAATCAATGAAGTTTAGCATTTGGGCCACTAATAAACTCACAGATTACTTTCCTTGAACAATGACTCTTTTCCCCTACCAGTTTCTTCTCTACCATTTTTCTTTACCCATATGTCAAGTTTTAGACTGTCAACAATTTATTGCAGACATCTTTAAATGCAGATTGTGAACAGCTCATGGGTAATGAAAACTATTTAATGGGTCTCGACCTGCATTTAAAACAAATGGAATAAATAAAAATCATCAGGCATCTCATGAATGCAATTTTTTTCAGAGTATTATATTTTAAGTGCATACACTTTTATTTGCTCCTTTTCTAGTATTTGGAGGACAAATATTTGAACAATGTCAGTCCATATATCTTCAATATAAATTTGTGAAACTCCCAGGTTAGGGAATTGATCTCAATAACCTTTTTAGAACTCCACTTATCAGTGCTGATAAAATGCTGATATGTGGCACAAGTTTCACCAATCAGTCACACTTCTAAAAGACGTCTTCAGAGCACTCTTCTTGGAGCCTCTGCTTCTGGGAGAAAAGCCAACCTGGGGTAGTGACAGCAGTGTTGGCTTCCAAGTGGTGAAGTGTGACACACTAGCAGCAGGCCCCTTCTTTAGGATTTTACTTCTGGATGTATCTTCAGGCATGAATCTATGGCTGTCCCAAGAATACTACTACCTTTAAATGTAAAGATAACCAGAGTCTGCCTACAACTAAGGATATAGAGCTTTTGGGGGAGAAAGAAGTTTTAACTGCTTTCTGGTAGAGGATTGTATATTTAAGGGACTCTTAATAATAAAACGCTTTATGCCCCATAATAGTTGTTATAGGCAGAATAATGGCTTTTCCTCTCCAAAGATGCTCATGTCCTAATCCTCAGAAGTGGAAAATGTTTCCCTGTATGTTAGAAGAGACTTTTGGGGTGTGATTAAATTAAGAAGCTGCAGCGTAGGTGATGATTCTCTATTGCCTGAGTAGGCCAGTATAATCATAAAGGTCCTAGTAGAGAATGGCTGCAGGGTCAGTCAGGAGATGTGACATAGTAAGCACAGATTTTTATGCATTTTGGAAATATAAGAAGGAGCTATACTGGCTGCCTTTTGCTCCTCAAAGAAAAACATATTTTCTCATCTCAACCTCCTTTTGTCCATCCTATGTTCTGGAAAATCCTTGTCCTGGCTCCCTACCTTACCTCAAATCCAATAATTAAATACCAGCTCCTCCTTCCCTGCATAATATGACAGCCCACTCCCCAGGTATTGAGTGTGACACTCCCTGTGTCATATTGTGTATTTCTTCATACCATTGTTCACCAACCAAAGTACCAAGTCAGTGCATCTATTTTCTATCTTCTGTCTTCTTTCATGAGAACAAAAACTCTTTGTGACAAGGCCCCTTTCAGCTTGTCACTGCAACACCAGTGCCAAAGACAGTACAAATACAAAGTGGAAATTAAGGACCTGTGAATGTAAATAAAAATAGGGGAAATTTCCCCACAGGAAACCCAAATCTTTTCCTCTAAATCTCTCCTACTACAATGCCAGTATTTGACCAAGAGTGTCCATATATTTATTAGTGTAACAGTTAAAAGCAAAACCATGAGATCTGGAGGAACATACATCTTAAATCCTGAGTCTTGTTGGACTTAACCATAATCTGTGCACAAAGATACAGTTACCTGCTAAGCAGACATTAAGTAGAATGAACCCAGCCTTTTCTCAGAACACCTGAACTCCATTCCTAAGAGGCAAGATGAACTAAAACAAGTCCCTCAATCTTTCTCTGTAACTCTGGTCAAGGTCTCCGGAATCCTCAGCTCTGAGTCCACAATTCCAGATATGCATCCATTTTATTGCCAATACATTAGTATTCTTCTTCATAAGTTCTTCAGTGTATGGGTGACTGTTTCCTAAGAGTCTGAACAACTACACAGGACCAAAACACAAGAGACTCTGAGACTGAAAGCATAATACTCAACTCTGGGCCTGATAATGTCAACAATAAGGGGCAGGCAACAAGTGAAGTTTGGCCTGGAATGAAATCAAGGTCCCTTCCTGCCATCTTTTCTGACTGTGAGGGTCTGGGAAGAGTCTGGAATCCTACCCTACTTGCAAGATCATGAGCTAACCTATAAATCTTTCATGGATGGTAGCAGTAGACAGAACACTCTTGGATCATGTCACACTTGGATGACATACATATCACAGCATAAAGTTAATTCTGAGTTTCTTACTCAGACAACTGACAGGCCTGTTTCTTTCTGGATGTATCTGGCATTACTACCTACTGACCCTCCTATGTTAACACTGATGATCTTTCTAATCTTTGCCAGGATTGCTGAAATGTCTGTTTCCATATCCTGTTCCTTTGGCTAACTTCTGAGTATGAAACTAGAACAAGGGAACGACACACATGCTCCTTACCAGCATCTTGGAGCAGGGAGACCTGCTGCTTCAATCTCTCCACTAGCAGATAGGTATTATGTTCAGTATTCAGGGAACCTCTCTTATGATGGCACCAAAGGTTTTTATCATACTGTATAATTTGTTTAATTTTTAAAATTTTTATTATAAAAATATTCAATGAAAAGGAATAAAAGATGGTTTATCAATCATCTACCACCTTGATACAATTGTACAATTATTGTTTTTATGTTTCTAGATGGGCCATTTGAAAGTGTCTGACATCTGAAATTTCACACCTAAATATAGCAAATAACTCCTAAGAATAAGGGATTAATGTAATCTCAATACATCAAATTTAAAATCAAAAATATAAAAATGTGACCTAAAATGATCTGATATCCAGTGCGCATTCCATATTTCTCAACTGTCCCAATACCCATTAGAGTCTTTTTCCTTAGAGTCAAAGCCTCAACCACATTGTTCAACTGCACTAAACTATAACAATTTGCTATATTGGTTTGGTCTCTTTCAATCTTGAAGAATCTTCCTTTTTTTTAATAGAAAATTTTTTCTCCTGTGGCATTTAACTGCACCCTTTATCCTAAGTTCTCAGAAATGCACATTGATATCATTAGATTCCAGGACTTTGTCGAAGGTGAGGCCTCTGAGGCATCCCAGGAAGAAGCACCCACTGCAGATGATTACATTTAATAGTGGAAAGTTAGATCACCTCAGGTTACAAGGGGACACATCTTTGAGTCTTTGTAAACAGCAGTACATGGAGATATTTTAGCACCCTCTAAGTATATCATTTACCAACTTTCATTCTCCAGTTTTTCTTCTGTCAGAGTCAAGGCACACCTGAATCAGCTTGTCAGTTTTGTGTAATTTTCAAATCAGTATCGTAAAAAGAAAAAAAATAAATCATACCTGATAGTAAAAGAATATGATTGAGACCATAAGACAACCTACTTTTTTGGGGTTTTTTTGTTTTGTTTTGTTTTAAGATTTAGGCTTCAGTGCCACTGCAGCTATTTAAATCTGCAAGGTATCTAAAGGCAACTAACGCTGTACACATGGACCCCATGGGACTAACCTAGCAACCATAAGGACTAAAATACTAAACATTTCCTAATGGACCCTACTCAGTCAAAACGACCCACATTATAATTACCAAGCCAGTAACCAAAGTGCACAGCTGCTCCAGATAAAATGTAAGTGGCCCTGAGAAGGGCCTTCTGTGAGGTCACAGTAGACAGCGGATCACGTTCTCCAGGAACACCTTGAGCATGCCAGGGGTCTCCTCCTACCTGATCCCGGAGATGCGCTTGACTCGGCGGATGGCGGGCTTGGTGATGCCCTGGATGTTGTCCCGCAGGACTTTACGGTGGCGCTTGGAACCACCCTTGCCCAGGCCTTTGCCTCCTTTACCTCGACCAGACATACTGATAAACAAAAGACACAACTAGGAAAAACACTGCTAGTTGCAGATTCTCCTAGAACATAGGGACCTATATGAAAACTGAAAGACCGGAAGACGTGGGAAAGGATATCGACTCCCCTCCCCTCTGTATCTGAAAAGGCCAAGGACTAAAAATGGGAAGACTTACTGGATTGAAGGAATCAATAAACAAATGTCAACAGTAAGAAAAGTACCTTGCTGATTAATACGTTTAAAAATGAGTTTCGTATCACAGATGGCAGTAGTAAAATGAAAACAAGCCCAAGCTCCAAGAAACAGGAAGTCACTCACTAGGACAAGGGGAAAAAGAAGATCTGATTATGGAATGTGCGTAGCTGCTCTAAATTTTAAGGCTTCAGTTGCACTGCT